GCTAAAACTTAAATTTTATCCTTATTTGTGGCTTATTTATTTGTCATAGCAATCCGTCTCCGTTTGATTGGAAACTTGGATTACCGTGCCTTGGTGCATTTGGATGGCCTGTGGACCCGAACAATGTATTAGCTGACTTCACAGACAATGCCTACAATAACGCTACAACCTTGATTATTACCTTTGTGGTAAATAACTACCAAGACCAAAGCAAGATGGCCGAAGTAATGGCTTGGGAAAAATCCTTCGTAGAATACATGAAGGAGTATATCAACGACAGCTCCCATGCCAACCTCACCATCCGCTACTCCACTCCAGAAAATGTCCAGCATAAATTAAGAGTGTGATGAACATACCGGGATCTCGCGGAGTGTGATGTAACGTGATCACGCAGTGTGCATTGTTTCGTCTATGTTCGTAGCAATCGGAGCTTGCTGAATATTTCTTTGTCGGTGATTTAGTTAACTCCAATAGAGCCAATGACAATATATAATTACTATTGTTACTCATAACTGAATTTAAAAAAAAAAAAAAAACAAGACAAAAACAAATCTAGACATAAAATGTATTTAGCACCACATTAGCACGTATGTATGTAGTTTGGATGTAATTCTAACCTTTGATTGCCTACGGTAATGATGAAAGTACCACTAAACTCAAAATATTTATACCTCAGTATATCCTGTCAATAGGTTTCTTTGCTTTACTGCTAACCGATGTGAAAACACTATCGTTGTAGCTATTTGCTTTAATTTTCCATCAGTGTTCAAAGTTCGTGCTCGTACTCGGTTGTGAGGGATCGAGGAGCTCATGGCTGCTGTTCTGGATACAATACGAGGTAACTAAAATTGCATTTGATGAGCGCCGACGAAGCGAGACTGTAAGTACTGCGGTTGCTTCTGTCACTCAAGGTCTCTTTGGTCCCTCTTTGGGGTGAAAACAATTTCAAGCCACGCCCACAAAACATGATCTTGGTACCACTTCGGGGTTCTTTTCAAAATTTCCGATAAGCACTCCCGTTCTTCCCCGAGCGTACACCCACCCAAGGTTTAGATCCTTTCTTTTATACAGAGGATATATTTCGTAGTTATTAAATTGCGAAGTTTATGGTTCTTTCTATTATACAGAGATAGTATTTCGCAGTTGTTAAATTGCGAAGTTTATGGTTCTTTCTCTTATACAGAGATAGTATTTCGCAGTTATTAAACGGCGAAGTTTTTGGTCCTTTCTTTTATACAGAGGATATATTTCGCAGTTATTAAGACGAATTTTTATATGGTTGTGTCTCACGAGGACTAGGAACTAGCGAATTCACGATTTTGATTGACTAAAATCGATATTGAAAGCGGTCTAGATTTTCCCATCTGGACGGGCATCTAGACCGGTTACATTTTGGGGTGAAAAAGTTGCAAACTAAAACGCAAAAATATTGACTATATTCTTCTAACAATTTTTATTTATGAAAGTGCCAAAAAGCCTGATGAGAAAAAAGTAAAGAGCAAACTTTAATTTGGCAGAATTAAGTTCGCCTTACCGCCGCTCGCGAGCAAAATGTTAGTTAGTACAAACCGGCTAGTTACAATAAACGAATTAAATTGTTCTTGTTTGCCATATAGTAAACATCTTATTAACTGAGCTTAGTCGGTCTGTATGGGATAATCTTGACCTCGGTCGTGTGTACAGACCTCACTGCGTTCGGTCTGTAATTATTAATTCATTTTCTCTCCTTCCAATGGGAAATTGTTTTTGGTGTTTTTTCAGGCAATTATTTATGTATTTACCTTTAAGAAAATGCAAAAATGACTGTAAAATACTTAAAATTATTCTGGTACCAGATTTTTGTCCACTAAAACCTGAAATTGCTCGATTTTCTATCGGATTTTCGTCTTAAATTGCGAAGTTTATGGTAATTTCAATTCTACGGAGATAGTATTTCGCAGTTACTAACCGGCGAAGTTTTTGGTCCTTTCTTTTATACGAAGGATATATTTCGCAGTTATTCAATTGCGAAGTTTATGATTCTTTCCATTATACAGAGATAACTACACGAAGTGTTTGGTCTTTATATAGTGGAAATATTTCACAATTATTAAACGGCGAAGTTTTTCGGTCCTTTGCATTATACAGAGGAAATATTTCGCAGTTATTAAACGACGAAGTTTTCGGTCCATTCTATTATGCAGAGGAAATATTTGGCAGCTTTTAAATGGCCAATTTTTTGGGTCCCTCTATCATGATGAAAAACACGACGACCCCTATATTTTATGCATTTGCCTAATTTACATAACATAATTACCAACTGGTAAGGTTTGAGAAATTTTTAAGTGGCATCAGTCACCTTATAAAAGTAGTTAGCGCTGATACAGTAGATACTGTTTAACTTCTGTTGGCGCAGCACGAACCTTCATATCTTTGGGATCGGAAGCAACGTGATTGGTGTTGTTATCAACAATGCATCAAAATGTTGCTTTTACCTCAAATCCTTTGTTTTCTTATAAAACATCTTTTTTTTTTTTGTCATCTTTCCGCTAAAGGGGTCAAGACCGTAATATCGTCATGAAAGAAACTTGATCATGGAGGGCATGGGCTGTTTACAACTCAGCCTATCACGATCGACGGCCGAGATCACCCCATCAAGCTTTTAGCTGCCTTACATCACGTTGCTTCTTTTAAGTTCCTGTTTTCTTGGCTAACCGGAACGATTTTCACTGTCTTTGACTTCGATCGCCCTTTTAAGTCGATCCCTTCCTCTCAATTAACTGAAGCCAACATGGCTGGGTTTGCTTTGATCGTTAAAATCTTGACTTGTGGAGCGTTTCTTCTCTTCGCAGGAGTAGATACGGTAGGTTATCTTCATTTCGCGTCTTATTCAATAGTTTCGAAATAATCAATAAAATCGTGATAATATGCAATAGTTACCCGATGCCCGTTACTCGGCGAAGGCTACTTTCTCGCGTAATTATAATTTGTTCGTAAGTTTATCTTTGGGGTCCACCGGGTATTACGGGCCGGATTGCGATGCATGCAGTACAATAACATTGCCTTGAACCAGTACTCCTGAGATGGATATAACTGTTTATTTTACTACACTATTCTCGTTTAGGTTATAAGCGACAAAGTCCCAATTCACAAGAAGGGTTATTGCGTGTGGTATGGTCAATGTACGACTGGACCCAAAGCTAAGAACTGTCTGTATAACGGACCGGCGAAACCTTTGACCGATCCCAAGGGTTTGAAGGTGCTGAACAGCTTATGCCCTGAATTTAGGGGTCAACATACTTGCTGTTCGACAAAACAGTTGGATGCTTTGTCCAGCAATTTAGACACCATGGCGCAGCTGACAACTCGCTGCCCTGCCTGCTGGAACAACATGAGAAGATTGTATTGCCAGCTGACTTGCAACCGCGATCAGTCCATGTACATGGACCCCAGGAAGGTCGATCATTATACTGGTCCGGTTAAAATAACGCAGATGAACTACTATGTTTCTCCTACCTTCAAGCAAGGTCTCTTCGACTCTTGCAAGGACGTAAGGTTTCCAGGGAATAACGAGAAAGTGCTGAATTTGCTTTGTGGGCCGACAGCCGAGAAGTGTACTGCAGAAAAGCTGCTGAGGTACATGGGAAATACCGCGAATGGATTCGCGCCGTTCGATATCTATTACCCGGAATCGCTGGTCGACAACTTGTCCTGGATGGACATAACTGTTTTCAAATGCAACAAGCCGTTTATCGATCCCCAAACAAAAAAGCCAGCGCCTATTTGCAGCTGCCAAGACTGTGCCGCACCATCCTGTCGGAACACTACCACGCCAAAACCAACTTACGGCCCTGAGTTTCGAACAGAGCAGCTGATCATTACGTCAACACATCCCAGCCCCACTGGATATCGCCGCTATGGAGACGATAAGTGGATTCCGTTTGGTCCCATATTTCATCTGGAGTTGCTAAATCAGGTATTTACCTCAGCGAGATCTATTTCTAGCGAGATATATTTCTAGTATTTCTCCCGTATACTAAACATTTAGATTATGAGCTCGAGATTTCTATTAAACAATTAGGTTATGAGCTCAAGATTTCTATCGCGTGATAGTTGACTAGAGCGCAGCCCGAATCAACTATCGCGCGATAGAAATCGACGGGGGCGCTTATTTGATTTTCCGAAATCTTACGCGTGGTCAGACTGAAAATCAGTTTTTTGTAATACCTGAATATGTCAGACCCTCTGAAAGTCTCAGAAGGATCCTGTCTCTCTAGTAAACAATTTGATTATTAGCTCGAGATTTCTATCACGCATAGAAATCGAGAGCGAATAATCTAATTGTTTTAGTATAAATCTACTAGTCCTTCAAAACGTTATCGAAATCTTCTGCACAGACACTTCGAAAACGCCAAGAAACGGCCGTTATTTTGTTAACAAGGGCACACTGCTACGCTACTCACTATCTATCACAGAATAGATAGTGAGTAGCTTAGCCAATCAGGGAACGGCATTCGTGACAGAACGCTAGTAGATTTATACTAAAACGTGATAGTTGTTTAGTATAAATCTACTAGTCGTTCAAAACTTTATCTAAATCCTCTTCACAAACGCCAAGAAATCTCGAGGTCATAATCTAATTGTTAATTAGTACAATCTACTAGCCTTCTATCACGATAGTGAGTAGCCTAGCAGTGTGTAGCCCGCGAGCAGGCTGCCGTCGGAGCACAAGCGTAGTCGAGCAGCGAAGCTCTGAGACCCAGACTCCTTCCCGCCAGATCGCTTTGCAAATAGACCAATTTCGACATATTAAAATTCAGCCTAAAACGATAGACCTCAATACGAGTCTCCGGGGAATAACTACAGAGTTTGTGGGTTTATTCCCCGGAGCCTCGTGCTGAGGTGTATTGTTTTAGGCTGAATTTTAATATATCGAAATTGGTCTATTTACTCTTCGCCGCTCGCGCGTTGGACTCAAAGTAGCCTACGTGTAGCCGTACCCAACCCCCGATTTGAGCCTGCTCGCAAGCTAAGCAGTGTGCCCTCTTTAACAAAATGGAGGCCCCTCGCCTTGTTTGCGTTTTCGAAGTGTCATAAGATAAAATTTTGAACGACTGGCAAATTTCTTAGCTTGGTAATTTGATCTCATAATTCATTAAATCAGAAGCATATCTAGGTGATATGGTTCTGATTAAATAGTACACAGCTATTTCTGCGAAGGAACCGAGGTTTTCGGGGCAGTTAAGGTAATCTTGCTGAGTTGTTATTCTTCTAGTGCTTGTTATGTGACACCGAGTTCCGCAATTGCGATGCTCTAAGCTCATTTTATCCACACTGCACATTTTAGAATCCGGCTGCTTTGATCGACTGCAGGTTCGTCGCATGAATTAATTAGCTGGTATGGAAAGCTCCGAATCGGCATTGAACTTGAAATTCTTCCATTGTCAGAGTTTTTAACCAGCTCTCCAACTAATTTATTTTTAGCGTTTTCCTCGACCGCGGAATAGACAGATCTCACATTGCTAAATCTGAAGGTCCCATATTGTCCCCTGTCGCCAGACCGGAGAGATATACAAGTGTACATGCAAAATGCACTCGCTTTTACCAGCGAGTGTTGTTCCCAAAACGAAGATCGAAGACCCGAAGACCCGAAGACCTGCTACGAAAACAAAGGCCCACTGCGAAAATCACTTTTGAAGCGAACACCAAATTAAAGAAGCTACGTGAAAAAGTTCAGTCTTTAACTTTTCAAGTTCGTCGTTTGTAATCCGTGTTAATTCTCTTTGTTAAATACCGTTTGCGTTACTGTTGCTTGACATCCCTTAAGTCTATCCTAAGTTGTAATTTGATATATTGATTTTGTATATAGTAAATCAGTGTGTTGCAATCACTTTGGTGTGCTTTACTTGGACTTATTGACCTGGATTTAGGCCCGAATCCTATCATCGTTATCGACCCTTGGCCAAAACAACCCAAAGTACCGTGACTTGATATTCATCAGAGTGAAATTTAATTCTTAAACCTTAGACTGATGATCACCGTTTAGACATGCCCTGTTTCTTGCATTTCTAGATCCTTTCCAATTGTTTCGTCGCAGGAACTGTAACACTTATCAGCCAGAACATCACAGTGACTGTTTACCGACGATCTGCTAGAATTGATACATTTAATTTTCTCCCCATAGGCTTTGGACCTCCAGAATCACATCACCAACATGAAGGTTCCTTTTGAGGGTTCCTACATCACTCTCCAAGACATCTGCTTTCAACCACTGGCACCACAGAACAAAAAATGCGCCATTCCAAGTATCTTCCAGTATTTCCAAAACAACAAAACCAGGCTGAACAAATGTCTCACCAGTTTGGGCTACAACTGTTCCGATCCAATCGCGAAATTTGACTTTCGTATGGCTGATTTTCATGATCATCTTTTACTTTGTCCACGGTAAGTTTTGTGTATCAGAAAAGGGGATAAAAACCAGCCAGAAATACATTTGTAATCAAATGATTTCGAGTTTAATTTGAAAAGGGGAAGCAAAAGTAAAAAAAATTTCAAAGACTAAATCCCCTTTCTTTCCGCTGTGACGTTTGGCCCATTGGAGGGGAAAAAGGGATAACGAGTTCTATCGCAGGTGTGGAAAAGGTAGGAAAATAAAGAAATTTCCGAGTGATATGGGTGTCTACCGGGACTTAACGGAAAAGTTTATCGTTTTAGTAATAGATTTACTAATGTCGCTACCGCGAGAGCTTAGGTAAAGCCCGCGAAAAGGCTCCACGAGCGGCGAAAACTAGAGACACCCTTAAGCCAAACCAATTCCTGACCAAACAGACTTGCAAGTAGATGTAGGTTAAAAATTAAATTTAGGTCTACTTGCAACTCCGTTTGGCCAGGCCTTGCGTGCACTTTTCGAAGCAAGTTTTCTATTGTGTAGCCACCCATCTCAAGTCAACGCAGGTTGAGTGACGTCCATTAATTAACCTATTAGTAGCCCCTGAAAAACAGGATATGTCTGCCTTGAAATCTTTTTTTTTTTTTTTTTGGCCACCAAACGCAAGTCTCGACGCAAGTTCAGCTTGCGGCTGCTTACGAATTCCTGCGATTCCGTTTGGTCAGGGCTTTATAGTGTTGTCCATGCTCCTCGCGGCTTTGCCTCTGCGCAAGCTGAATAATCGCAAGGAGAAAGGGTTAGTCAGGAGGAGACAGATGCGATTCTTAATGCGTGAGGGGAGAGGGCTGGGGGCTAAAAGGTAAATTTTACCCTTATTTGTGGCTTATTTATTTGTCGTAGCTCTCCGGCTTCATTTGATGTGAAACTTCAAATACCGTGTCTTGGTGCATATGGAAAGCCTGTGGATCCGAACACTGCATTAGCTGGCTTCACAGCCAATGCCTACAATAACGCTACAACCTTGATTATTACCTTTGTGGTAAATAACTACCAAGACCAACGCAGGATGGCTGAAGTAATGGCTTGGGAAAAATCCTTCGTAGAATACATGAAAGAGTATATCAACGATAGCTCCCATGCCAACCTCACCATCCACTACTCCACTCTCCACCCACTACTCCACCCAGTGTGAAGGACATACCAGTATCTCGCGGAGGGTGATGTAACGTGATCACGCTGTGTGGATTGTTTGGTCCATGTTCGCAGCAATCGGAGCTTGCTGAATATGTCTTTGTCGCTGATTTAGTTAACTCCAATGGAGACAATGACAATATCTAATTACTATTGTTACTCATAACTGAAGTAAAAAAGAGACAAACAAATCTAGACGTGAAATGTATTAAGCACCATATTAGTACGTATGTATGTAGTTTGGATGTAATTCTAACCTTTGATTGCCTACGGTAATAATTAAAGTACCACTAACCTCAAAATATTTGTACCTCAGTACATCTTGTCAATAGATTTCCGTGCTTCACTGATCACCGATGTGAAAACATTATCTTTGTACTTGTAGCTATTTGCTTTAAGTTTCCATCAATGTTCAAAGTTCGTACTCGTACTCGGCATTGAGGGAAGAGCCGGCATGGCTGCTGCTCTGGATAGAATACGAGGCAACAAGAATGAGATTTGATGAGCTCCGATAAAGCGACACTGTGAGTACTGCGGTTGTTTCTATCACTCATGACTCAAATGGTCGCTTTGGTACCTCTTTGGGGTGAAAACAATTTCAAGCCACCCTCACAAAACGTGACCTTGGTACCCCTCGGGGTTCTTTTCAAAGTTTCCGACGTGCA